GAGTCCGATTTAGTAATGAGACCCTGAACACCCTGTAGACCCTTCCCTAAAATTTAAAAAGAGAAAACCAGAAAATCAGCTAATATTACTATCAGCATCAAATGTGACAGCCACTTTTTGTGGGAGAAGCCCCTAGAAACAGAGAGCTAACCCAGGCCTGAATCTGCAGTAATTTATGAGGGTCAGTCAGACTCAGGAAGATGTCCCCAGGCAAACTAGAGTGTTTAATCCGTAAAAAAGTGGTGTTTCTGGAGGTAACCTAGAAGTGCGCCAGTAAGATCCCCTCACAAAAAAAAAAAAAAGGTTGTAAAATAATGTTTTTCCTTCTCAACTGCTTTTTGAGGAGAGAGTAGGCATATTATGCTCTGTCAGGTAGAACTAAGACTTCACCAACCAGAGAATACAAATTGGAAGGCTCAACTTCCTCATGCTCCCTGCTCTCCTTGGAGATGGTGGAAACCTGCTCTAGAAGAGATACTGGTTCCCACCAGCCATGATGTGAGCCATTGATAAATGTGGCAAAGGAAGCCCGTCATCCAGAACAGGGAACACTGTGCCCTTGACACAAACACCCTTCCAACAAATAGTAGAGAAAATGACCTAGAAAGGAAGAAGCTGACAACTTGGTGGCCCGACTCATTTTAAGAAAAGAATACAGAAACTGCAAGTAGATTCTTGTTTCCGATTTATTCAGAAAAGAGAGGGACCCCCTGTGGCTTGGGTGACTGGGATCAGGTTGCTTGTGTCACCACATAAAAAAAAAAAAAAAAGACAAGGCAAGAGCTTTCCCAGTTCCTGCTACCAACAAAGCTTAGTATTCTCTATGCACAGCAGAATTTTCTGGGTTATCCCTTTTTTAGACAGGGGACTTTGTAGCAAGGGCCATTGAGTGAAGAGATGAATGATTTCTATCAGTGAGAATGAAGGGGTTACCAAAAGCAAGGAGAATGCCTCTTAGAAGACAGATGAAAGGGCCAGAGGATAGCTTCCTCCTTTCCTCTCCTACCTAACGACCACTTTCACCCACTCTGGGGTCAGTTTCTACTTCAAAACTAAAATTCTCCTCTTGTAGAGTCACAGCTTTTTCAACAGGAGTGTCTGACATCTTTCTAGGCAAAGTGTCACTTTCAAAGGATGAAGCATTCCTTCTCAGGGCCATTGTTTTCTTCCCAAAGGTCCTAGTCTGAAGATGCATGGGGCTCATAGTTATCCCTTTAGGGGTCATAGATTGATGACCCACAGTGGTCATGGTCTTCTCCCCAGGGGTCTCCCTTGGAAGATGCACAAGGGCTACAGTTGTCTCTGCAGGGGCCACAGACCAGTGGTCCCCTGAGGCCACAGTCTTTGTCTCAGGGACCTCAGTCTTTCCTCCTAGAGCTACACTGTACTTTCTAGGGGATACTGTTTCCTTCCCAAGGGTCACAATTCTTCTTGTAGGAATTGTCGTTATGTTTTCATGCTTTTCCTGGGCCTCAGTGGCCGTCGCCTCTCCTGGAGGCAAAATCTTAATAGTATCAGTGGTCATTGCCTTTGTCACAGCCAGTCTTTCAGTATCAGATCTTGAAGAATTCATAGCAGATGAGGGCCGAAATTGTGGTGAAGGAGTTGAGCTGACCTCTAGGGAAAATAATTAAAAGGAATGAAAATTCTAGCTCTTCCTTCCTATCTTATTAATTACAGCAAGACCAGAACCACCCCAAGGTTGAAGGACCTGCTCCAAAAGTCCAGCAATGGATTTCACAACTTAACAATTTACCACTGTGGGCACAGATAACATCTCATCACACAGGAACCCTTCTCTCTGACCCCGTCATGTAGTATGGTCCCAAGTCATGGGCACTTGGGGCTGTATTTCTGGTGAGTGACTCAAAGGAGAGACCAATGAAGGCCTGTGTGTAGGCCCTCTCTTTGATCCCTCTGCACTAACAGCAACATTGTTCCCCCCAACCCTAATTCTTCTGTCTTTGAACACTCAGAGAAAACCTCTTATTCCCACACTGTAGGAGGCACTAGGAACAAATATGCTGGCAAAGGAGGCTCTGGATATCTCGATGTAAGTGCCTGGCATGCAGCCCACCTAAACACTTAACAAGGCTAAGCCCAGTCTTGCTATGTATAAAGTGAGGATTATGGAAGATCTCTAAGGATGTTTCTGTTCTTGCATTCCAAGTCTATCTCCTAACTGCCTAGGTAGCCTCTACTATCAACAGGATCCTGAAAGAAATTAAATTTCTTTTCCTAACCTTTGCTTCACAAAGCAAAAAGAAAGAAACAGAGAAATATTAACTAGCATACGTAGAGTACTAACTATAATCCAGCAGTTTTTATTCACACTTTGTTCTTATAAGAGTGACGTCACGATTCTAGGGATCGTCTTTGTTTTACAGTTAGGACAAAGGAAGCTCAAAGAGATCTAGTATCTCTAGTAACATCCAAGTAGATCTGATAAGGTCCAAATATCTCAACCGAGATTTAAAAACATCAGCCAGCATCAAAGCCTATTCTCTTCACTCAATACCATGTTGCCTCATCGAAGTATTTACTTAGCAGGACAGACCCACCCAGCGCCTTCTTCTGCAAAGTCCAACCCCAGCTTCCAACTCACAGCTACTTACCAGCTTGCACCAAGAGTTCATTCAGTATGTACACAAGGGGAAAAGGGCCGGTGCCACAGAAAGTGCCCCTGACGTCATCCATGTCCAGTGTCCACACCATGGCACCTCCAAAATGTTCTCTCTTTACAAACATTGCCTGTGAAATTAACAATCAGTCAACACGCTATAGTGGCTCCCTCCAAACTAGTTACAATATCAAATACCAGAAGCTGGCCTTTCAAAAGGCAACGCAGAAGTACTATGACAGCGTGCTGTCCAGCCTCTGCCACTTACTAACTATTGGATCTTGAATTTTCTTTTCCTTTTTTTTTTTTTTTTTGAAACAGGGTTTAGCTGTGCAGTTCAGGCTGGCCTTGGCCTCACTTTGTAGTCCAGGCTGGCCTTGAACTTGCAGTGAACCTCTTGTCTCAGCTTCCCAAGTGCTAGGATTACAGGGGTGAACCACCATACCCAGCTTTGGATTTTGAAATGTTTATATAAACATTAGGTGTCTTGGTTGCCTCATTGGTGAGAAAAAAGGAAAACTTTCCAACATTTCTATGATCAAAAGTATTCCTATATACCAAAACGTGGATGGAATTTGGAGGACATTATGCTAACTGAAATAAGCCAAACCAAACAATTACAAAGACTGTAAGATTCCCTTCATGACAGGTACTCAGAGAAATCAAAGTAATTGAGTAAAGTAAAATAATGACTGACAGGGCCTAGGAGAAATTAGGAGTTAGTATTTAATGGGTACAGAGTTTCTTTTCTTTTATTTTTATTTATTTATTTATTATTTATTTATTTGTACCAGGGATTGAACTCAGGACTTTGTGCTTTCCAGGCAGGCACTATGCTGCTGAGATACCTCTCCAGACTCAGAGTTTCAGTTTAGAAGATGAAAAAGTCCTGAAAATGAATGGTGGTGGTGATTACACAAAATGCAATTAAATGTTTTTAACTTCACTGAATTATAGAATCAAAATGGTTAAAATGCTTTATGCTATGCAGGAGTATACCTAAATAAAGAGTTTTTACATAGCAGTATTTAGATCAGTATCTGGCACAGACTTAATGTTCGGCAAATGTTGGCTACCATCCCCCGAGGTCCCTGGCTGCTAATCGCCGTGCTCATCCACTCAACTACGTAGATATCGCTTGATTATTATTTTAGAAAGTCACTTCAACATGGAGACCTAAAAAGTATAGATAAAGCAGCTAATACAGATGAAAAGATAAAGACATTTATCTATAATTTTTAAACGTCAGATACAACTAAAAAGGAAAGGTTTACACTCAAATCCAGGTCCTTTATCAAGGCTGATAGAGAAAAATAACTCCACCACATTCAAATAGATGCTTGATTTGGCCAAGTCATTCTGCTCCTTTCTGGGACTTGCTGAACCCAAATGGAAAATAAGGGGAAGTAGATTTAATTATTAAGTCTCAAGTTGTGGAGGTTTTGAGAGCTTATCCTCCTTACAAGCTAATATGTTGGCCCGCCCACACACACACACACACACACACTCACACCACCCACACACTGACACCACACACACACCACACACACAGCACACACACACACACACACACACACACACACACACACACACACACTGGAACCAGATCAGGAAACAAACTATTATGAATTATTCACAGCAAAGACAGCAAGGAGCACAGCACCTTGCTTTGGTTTTCACAACCCAGCCTCCCGAAGGACAAGGTGAGGAGCAGCTAGCCTGCATGTGCAGCAGGGTTTGCACAGCCATGAGCCTCAAAATTGTGAGCGTTAGAGCTCCTGTGGTATGGGCAGAATATCTAGTGGAGAGGGGCCTGGGGAGATGGCTCAGTAGAATAAGCACTTGCCTGGCAAGTGTAAGGACCTGAGTTCAATCCCCGGTTCCGCAAAAAAAAAAAAAAGACTATCTAGTGGAGGAGGGCGACTGTGTGAGCTGTGCCTTCTGCTCTGTTTATATGCAAACACTTTTTGAAGGGGACTTTACAGTCCCTCCGTGTGAGCAAAGGGTCCTGGGGGAGTGAAGGGGGAGCACAGCTTGCATTTTTGGAGTATCCTATCTGCTTCTTTGCTCAGAAGACCCACACCAGGCAGGACCCTGAGACATCTGGGGATAATTATCTCCCAGAAACAATCTCCAAGGTTTCTTTTACCTCTAACATTCTGTGATAGAGTCCCCTAGTCATCCCCACACTACGCCTGGGTCCCCATTTAGTTCTTCACGACACAGTAGTGGTCCTCAAGCAGCTCTGTCCTCCCCTGCTGGTCCCAGACTCTTTTTCCCGGCACACAGCGTACATCCCTGCTGATGTCCTCCGGATCGTATATCTAAGTCTGCCCAACTTACTCTTTCCATGAGATCCCTGATCTTTTCTGCCTGTGATTTCCATTCCCAAGAGAAAGACTGCAGGAGCTGGAAGTCTGGCTCTCCAGCTCTCTTCTCACCAGCAAGCCTCGCTGGAGTGATGCATAAAGAAGCTACATGTGTAACTGCAAAGGAAACTTCATGAGTGCCCCCTATCTCTTGTGTTTTCTACCTCAAATTTCTCCCTTCTCAGGAACACCAAACACATGCACTTCTCCTCACTTTTGCAAGTGTGAATTCTCTCCACTCACAACCCCTGATACCCAGGTAGTTGCCACATATCAAGAACTTCTCACTCACAAGCTGCATCTTCTTCCAACAACCCTGGCCCAGACCCTCAGGCCTAGGCCTTCCATGTCTGGTAGAGCTTCCAAAACACCACCCACTATGACCATATCACATGTGAAGACAGACTAAAAGCAGTTTCCAAACTTTTTCTAAGGCGTACTGTTCTTGGGCAAAAGCAAGAATTTCTGTATTTATCAAGGCTCTCAGATGATTTCAAAACAGAGACAAGGTCAGGATCCACTGAGATCCAGAGTTTCTGTTTTAATTCACTAAAAACTCTCCCAGATTCAGCTCTGCAAAACACCACTTACGTGGCAGTTAGGACACAGTTATACTCTAAAGGCTTCCAAATCATAGGCCAGCTCAGAAGATCTTCCTTAAACCACTGCAGAGTGAAAACTAAAGCTGGTCACCAGCACTTACGCCCCTCCATTAAAGTCTCTGGGCCTCCCGAATTCTCCTTTGAACTTGTGAAACCCTGTCTGTCCCCCAAGCCTTCCCCTGTGCCATTACCTTCTGTTTCTACTGCCTCTCTCAGAAAGTGCTCCCTGATTCCTCCACCTCTGCCACATATCTGTAATTTTCGTTGAGAACTTAGGATAAACTACCTTGTGTTGCTATTTGCCTGTTATAAACTGTCTGTTCTTTTTTTCGTGTATGTGTGGCCAGCCCAGCCTGCCCTGGGGACAGGGCTGGCATGGCATGTGGTGCCTGGGATTGAACTGCACTCCCTGCGCTTGCCTAAGCTTGCCTAAGCAGGTGCTTTAGACTGAGCTATCTCACCAGCCCAAAATTGTCTGTTCTAAATAGAAAAGAAGACTAACTCAGGAAAATATCAATATTGAAAATTTAAACTATGACTCCTGTTAAATCTATATGGTTTAAACAGCCTTATAAAGTAAAAAATGTCCTATACCCAACTATGGTACACTGGGGACCATGTGTCAATGGAATCACATAACACGATATCCTTTTGACCTGGTGGTTTTGGTAAACATTCAACTATTTATGTTATTAATTTAAATTCAGCTTACTGAAATATAATTTGTGTATAATAAAAAATAAATAAATAGGGCTGGTGAGATGGCTCAGTGGTCTAAAGCATCTACTTAGAACAAACTTGGCAAAGCAAAGGGACCACGGTTCAATCCCCCAGCACCACATGCCAGCCAGGGCCGCCCCCTGGTGGGCTGAGCTGGCCACACACACACACACACACACACACACACACACACTAAATAAATAAAATTAAAAAAATAATAATAAATAAATAAATAGAAGGAAACATCTGTTCTAAAACAGAAGAAAAAGAAGAAGAGAGAGGGGACTGGAAGAGGGAGGTAGGGGCACGGGGAAGAGAAGAGAAGGAGCGGAGCAGGACAAGAACCAGGGTCTCACCTTGTGGTTGAAGCTGACGGCATCATCATAGCCAACCCACTCCTTCCCCTTGAATGCATAGGGGACACATTGGTAATCAATCCAGTGTTTTCTTGCTCTTTGGACAAAGGAGCAAACCTATCAGGAGGACCACCAGTGAGTTCCACATAGTGCCACAGAGAGACATCAGGAGGCATAGCTGTCCCTTGCCTCATCCATGGTAAGGACTCCCCAAAGCCCTTATCAGGAGTGAAAAACTAAGGTAGGCCAAAGAGGCAGTAGGAAATCCACTCAGCCAAGATCGCCTCCTATCCTGCGTAAATTTATCTGCTCCATTTTCCCTCCTTAGAGAGAACTGGGGAGTGTGTGATACATTCAAACAGCCAAGTGGGAGTTTGGCAATGTACTAAGAGGACTATACCTAAACCGGGACTGGACCTGCATTTTTAAGTGTTTTTATAAACAAATGTCTATTCATTAGACATCAACACACACTGCTTCGTCTATAGGTAGCTACCAAACTAGTACTGTAACTTCTAGTTGATTGAAAGGTATTTTAAATAATTATGGATTTGTTTGTTTATTTAGTTGGTGCAGGGTCTCACTCCACAGCTCAGACTCATAGTGATCCTCCTGTCTCAGCCTTCTCAGCGCTGGGCTTGCAGGCCCAGCTTCGGTGGCCAGCACAGTGCTCCGGGAATTCTGGGGCGTGCATGGATGCAGTATCAGGGACCAAATCTGGGTCCTTTTCTTGCCAGGCAGGTGCTTAGACTGCTGAGCTGTTTCCTCAGCCCTGAAAAGTCTTGATGGAAGGCCAAACCAGGTTGCTACAATCTGTCAAGTGGCCAAGTGGCCACTAGGTGCCCAGAACTGTGTCAGCAACTACATGCTGCAAATAAAGAGACGTGGCCAAGCTGCGCTGCAGGAGTTAATCTCTACTCCACTTCTGTTTTCTTGGAGTGCTCTTGGGCTATTAAACTCTCAGTTTCTCTTAAACTCTTTTAGATTCATGGTATTCTTCAAAAACATTATTCCAACTATGCTGACACCCATCCCCATGCGTCATTGGGTTAGCAGGAAACTGCCCTTACCCACCATCCAGCAGAGAGCAGAGCTTGAGGAGACGTGCCTCCACTGCTGCCTGAGGTGAGGTCAGAGCCTCCACCTGGTCCCCCCAGCATCCGTGTTTTTATACCTGCTGTGCTCGGCCTGCCTATGAGGATTCTCTTCCTTCAAATCTGCTCAGGGTCCACCTGCTCCGCACAACTATTCCAGACTCCTGTGGCATGAACTCATGTGCCTCTCCTTGTTCCTCTTGTCTTACATTCACTTGGGGCAGGATCCATGTCCTCTCCCCGACCCCCTAGCACACTTCGCTAGGATGGATGTTAAGGGGTAGCACTGAAGTAGAGATGAAAGAATCTGCAGTGCAGGTGTCTGAGGATTTCTTCAAAATAGCCCAGTAGTGGGATGTAGAAAGCGGGCGAACTGAACGAAGTAAGACCAGCCATGGACTGCCGACCGAAGTAGAGTGGGAGCTACAGGGAGGGGGCTGTTCTTTCACTTTTGAACCTGTTCAACATTATACATATTGCAAAGGAGCAAACTTGGTTTTTTATTTAGGTCAAATAGCAAGTCTTGATTGACCTATATAACATTTAAGGTCCTTTTGCAGAGTAAAATCTCTACCCCCTTCGCTGAGATTATTCTGAGTCTCTCATCCCTCACAAAGAACTCGGCTTCTACCAAAGAAAAAGAAAATCTCCCAGTGAATTTTCTCATCCCAATCAGTTGTCTCACTCCCCTGTCCATAGCTGTCACCCTGCCCTTGCCCCTCTTCCTGATCCTTGTGCCAGCTGGTGTAGAAGGCCCCTAACTGCTAGTCACAGGTCCCTAATCCCATCACCTCATAATAAGCCAAGAAGCCAGCTTGTTTGGTGTACTTCCCTGGAGAGGCTGGTCCCATCGCTGCAGCCTGCAACCCATTCTTAGAGGCTTTGCGGAGGCGAAAAGTGCGTCCATAGGTGGGGAGCCCCATCATCAGCTTCTCTGAGGGGGCCCCAAGCCTTTGCCAGTATTTCATAGCATATGCCTGCAGGGAGGAAAAACACAACCTCTTTCTGTTTCAATTCTGTCTCTGTCCTGCCTCTGCCTCTGCCTCTGCCTCTACCTCTGCCTCTGCCTCTGCCTCTCCTCCTCTCTCCTCTCCTCTCCTC